ACATGGCATTCCGATTGGATTAAAAAATATTTTCCGTAAATTATAGTGTTTACCCTCATTTTTGCAATAAAATAAAATAATAATAATAATAATAAAATGATGCAACATGTCATCAATGTTGACAGGTATTTTATTGGTTGAAAGTTATTGGTGTAAATATCTCCAAATAAGGTTAAGTAGTTATTTGCACAACAGCAACAAAGTCGTTGGTGTGTTGCGAATTTTTAAGAAGATAATCAACAATATCAACAGAATAATCAGTTCGTTTTAGATTTCATGCTACCATAAATTTCCAAGCATATTGCCAAGAGATGTTTACTGCTATAAATATGCAGAGATGAAACGAAGCGAAGGACCAACCTCTCACGCAACTAATTTAGTGCTATCTACGTTTTAGTTTTATAAGCAATATCTTAGTTTAGATCTAACTTTTTTAAACAGCATTTCTAGTTAAGTCTTTAACTCTACGCTATCATTAGTTTTAGTTCTAGTTTTTATTATTTCGTTGTGAACATCTTCAATTGATGTATTTAGTTTTTTACAATTTAATTTATTGCACTTTTGCCCAAAATTCATCTTCCTAATTTCTTTTAAGTTTAGTTTTATGCTTTAGTTTTTATTTCATTTTCTACGTTTTCATGCTTTCACGGCGACATCATGCTTCCTTTCTGCAATTTAGTTTTCCTACCATGCACTCTCTTTTTTCTTTTTTCCTTTATTTTTCTCTTTTTATCTCGATCAGCAAATTAACATTTTAGCCCTAATTGTGGAAAGTCCCTGATGTTTTTTCAGGGTAATTATTTATGAACTTTTATGTAGAAATGCACTCCCATTTCTGCAACAATCGTTTGACTATGTCGCATTTCATAATTTATTTAATTGGTGCTCTTTCATTGACTTGAGGCGAGTTCCATGCTTTGAAGTAGTGGGAGTCACCGATAATTCATCTTTCTCACTTTGAGAAAAGTGAATAGCACGTCTTTACAGTTTTATCTATCATACAACTGGAAAAGTAAATTTTGGAGACAATATATAGTAACATTAAGAAAGCACCGCCTGATTTTAGGCCTTTGATATCTCTGATAATGTTCTTTAGTTTCATCTCTGCCATAATAATGTTCTCGCTTATAAATGATGAGATGTACAGTTTTACAGCTGAAAACGATAGAAATTCAACTCAGAAACCACTCCCATTGCTCTTTGCTTTTGCTGT